CTGCAATCAAGTGTATATATATATATATATAGTTATGGATATTACGAGGAAAGAAAAAAAAAAGATTATAATCTTAATAATTATATATGTTTGCTTATCATTAAATATACTGAATCAAAGACAAAATAATCATGATCATGTATATATTAGATCAGAACGTATACATACTGTATATGTAGGACGTTATAATGACAACATTTCAAACATAGGTTACTGTTGCTCGCAGAATAACCTTAACTTAAAAATTCTATTTTCTTGTTCGAAGTCTCTTTGATATTGGGGTTGGGACATCTTCACCAGCAGCTATTTCTTCGTCTGTCTCTTTTTTTATCGCCCAAACGAAGTATTGCAGAGAGGGTTGGCATCTCATCTGGAACTTCCTTTCCAAGGGCCTCTCTGCATTTTGGACAAGGCGTGCCACATTTATGACAAACAGGTAATTTTCATATCTGGACATTGTGGCTGATGGAGATGTGTATGAATTGTCTTTTTCAGGAAGGAAAAGTTTTTCCTTCTCCATTGGTCTTGGCACCAATCTACCAATTGCTTTTCTAGCAGCATCTTCTTGCAGTGCTTGCTGAATATGCTGAAATGCTGGCATTTCAACGAGTTTGCAAACAAAATTTGCAATGACTTCATGCACCTTATAAGTAAAAGTGATCTTCTCTCTTCGTGCACAGCCTGACATTATAAGAAGTTGCCATACAGCAACGTCGTATATAAGCAGCCTCAGAAATGCCAAAGGATTGCTTCGGGGCATGTCTTCCTATTAACTCGGGAGGAAAGTGGTAGGTAGTTGCAAGGGAGAAATCTGTAATGAAAAGATATCTATTATTCGAAATGTAAAAAAAAAAAAAAGGTTTGTATACATGTTTAAACCAGTACTTTGCTAAATTAGGCCACAGACTTTTGGAAAAACAATCGCAAACGAAATGCCACCGTAAACGTACCATTAGTTTGTTACGCTCGGCGGCGTTTTTTTTTAGTTTGTTGCGGTTATTAAAGTGGCTTATATACAGGAGTGGTGCGGTTGTATTCCATGCAACCCTCCTACTGTGAGATGTAGTGCAAATGATCTTCGACTGGCGCGCAATATGAACGTAGCTCGCTGGATTGCTTTCTGGACATCTTAGTAGTGAAAAAAATTACCCTTTTTTTTGGCTCACCGGATCAAACAGGGAGCTCAATAGTGGTTCAATGCGCTCTTCACAACATCAACAAACCATTAACCTTTCATTGTTGTTATAGACCTAGGCATAACAAAAAAATTTCATCCATATCTTTGAATACCGTTGATGCCCTTAGTTTAATATTTAGTGATGACTAGGCGCATTTAAAATTCAACTAAAGTTTATCAAAGCATTTCGTATACTGTAGTATATTACCTTGCTTTAATCCTAGTTTAGACCATGTGTGCCGAAATAGTTTCAATGCAGGACCTAAGAATACGCCGACATGTGATTAATCTGTCTAAGGGAAAACAGGGCTCCAAGTTAAAACGGTCCTTACCTTCTGGGTTGAGAAATACTAGTATATTCGACTTTATGATTGCTTCTGTGGTTCTAGACGTATACTTTTGGGATCTAACACGCTCGATAATATTTACACGTGATGACTTAACTTCGGCGCGAGACTGAACGAATCATCTCTTAACCAATCAGAATATTTTATTCATCTTACATCACTGAGAGAGGCAGCACGCGAGTTTTGTGTTGTTGTGATGGCTTCCAATTCAGATCAAGCTGCTTGTCAATCGACATCATCCAAGAAGAAGGTTCCAGAAGCTATCACAGACTAACTGGATCTGGCAATATTCTAGTTTGTTTGTCAGTTTGGCCTACGGTCATATCACAAGGTTCGAGGCGATCCGGTGATCGAAGGTGTGTGTGCGTTTTTTGGTCGCCTTCTTCAGTGCTCAAGCCCCGTAACGCTACAAGTTTACGAAGAAGTTGCTGCCATAAGATTTGGTGGTTGGGAACCAGGATCTGCCCCATCAAAAGAGCTCCTTACTTTGGTGTCTTCCAGAATGAAGACGCTGAAAAGTAAAGGCGAAATAAAGGAGAGCGACAATCCCGAAGTGCCAAAGCTGTTGCTGTTGAAGAAGGACAAGTATTTTGAGGAAGCAGACAGGGTGAAGACATGGTACTTCCTGAAGCGCTGGCGCTGTGACGATCGTTGCGATTTCTGTCGCAATAAAAGGAATGCTTTCCCTAAGTATCTGGATAACTTCAATGTTGAGTAAGTTACGCATATTAATTTCCTCATATCAAAATGAAAGCGCACACTTTTTTGATCGAAATTTTAAAACAATCTTTTAAGGGATACCGCGCATGAGAACGACACATACATACAATAGAAACTCAAAATGATGAATAGCATGAATATCGTTTAAAGATAATGAATTTTCAAAGTCGCATACACTGTTTACTGGATATATTGGCAGAACAATTGCTTTATCACTGTTCGTGGTAAGAAACTATAATATATGGTTTTAAAATCTATTTCCCTTTTACATAGTATTGCCTCTCCTTTCCTTGGAGTTTTGGAAGATATGCTCGGAGAGCATCAGAGAACCACAGACGATAAATCTGATGTGGATGACGCCGTTAGCAAAGATAATGACGATGACGACACAGGAGATGATGACCTTTACACTGAGTGTTTCATATCCAATAACAGCTTCTCGGGTAACACGGATGATGATGATGATGAATTTTCAGATGTTTCAGAGTCATAGTTCTCTTTTCTTCTTCCATGGGTTGTTGTCCTTGTTCTTCTGCTTGTTCTTCTGCTTCCTCTTCTGCTTGTTCTTCTGCTTCCTCTTCTGCTTCTTCTTCTGCTTCCTCTTCTGCTTCCTCTTCTGCTTCTTCTTATTATTATTATTATACGCAAAAACAATCTCTTGGATTCGTGCCAGAACATCATTTGCTCTTCTGCGTTCTGCCCTTGTATGTTTGAGAGGTTCAAGAACAAAAAGGGGAACACCTTTTGATGTACATAACTGTGATATTGACATTGACACTGTCCACGGAGCAATTAAGTCTTCTACTTAGATTAACTTTTAAATATATTTTAATTATATAATTGTTTTTATATTTTACAAATATGTTTATATCGATAAGTAAGTAATTTGTACATATATTTGTTATTTTATATTCATAATCTCTTTATTAACGTTATTATAAATTTGATTATTATTATTATTATTATCATCATCATCAGCAGCAGTAAACACGTTTGAATGCTAATTAGATAAGCTAGATAGGGCGTAATTTCGTAACCTACCAGCATGACAGGACTAATAATACAATCACTTAAAACCAATTATAGAGGGGAGAAAAAATATATATAGCTATATCGTAAAATGTCTTAATTCTAATAGTAGTTTTTAAATGTTTATCATATAGTGCTCTTTAAGATGGTACTCACTTAAAACAAAAATGTTCATAATAAGATTTACTAAACTTAAGGAGCCTTTGGGTAATTTTAGTCTGGCACACCTAGCCGCATTGAAACGGCTACGACTTCGTCTTGAATAACTCGATCTGCAAGCGCTTTTCACACAATGTCAGGAAAGGATTAAAGGTTTCAAAAATGATAAATTAGTTTAAAGCGGCCTTTTCATTATGAAGTAATGATGACATCATAGAAATCGTTTACCGCTTATTTTCTCGAAAACTAGACCTAAACTTTCAAAGCGACTTGCACCAGTCGATAGTATTCATCAAGGCACCCAACGTATTGCAATATGAAAAAAATGTATGAGAGCGTTTTCCAAWTATTACGCGGTGAATATTTTCATGGACTTTTACTATTATTTCAAGCGTGTCAACTTTATACCCTCAAAATCGGGACTTTAATTTAGTRGATTCAATATTTTTAGTAGCTAGAATATAGGTACGGATATAGACACTGTCCTTATTGAGTATGAATCAAATTGTGACTTTCTTTCTAACGTTATGGATTTTTTGATATGAAGCTAAATGACCCNGTATGAATCAAATTGTGACTTTCTTTCTAACGTTATGGATTTTTTGATATGAAGCTAAATGACCCCATTTGTTGTCAAAAGCGATAGAAAATATCGTTGAAAGCGGCATTCAAAAAATCGTCGAACTATTTTTTTCTAAATGAAGTCACTAAAAGATGTATCTTTTACAAATATTTTCCTTTAATTTCATATGCATTGAAGGGTTTTACGGCAGTCAAATAAAAATAAGTACGCTCGATACTAACAGCACACGACAAGGAATAACACGGAAGTCAAGCGTGAATAATCAACAAGCAGCCGTGAGCGAAAGTAGTTATGAGCGTACTTATTTATTGCGTACAAAGATGTATTACTTAGAATGCAGAAAGCGGTATTAAGCTGCACACTGAACATTGCAAGAACATTCAAATTAATCACATCTTAAAGACATTTCAAACATTCTAAGTATTTAAACTGCATCTTAAGAACATTACAGTTAATTTAAGGAGGCTCAGGGTAGTTTTGGTCTGCCACACCTAACTACTGCTATTACATTGGTTGGGTGTGAACTGTCATGGCGGTCGGTCACGCTCTTTGGTGCTCCGTGTGGTTTATTTTTTATCTTGTCCTGTTTGTACAATATAGTCCACMAGAGTCTTCCAAATACACTCGAAAGTTATCGTCAACATGTTATAGAGCTCTCGGCCGTAGTAATCATTATTATCCCAGCGGAAAACCGAAAACTTGTYGAAGGTTCTTCTTGTCAAGAATTTCGAAATATCACTCTTCGACCTCATGTTTAACATTCCAGTTACTCACTGACTCTTCCGTCAGGAAAATTCTCGTTTCTGGCGATGTTCAGCTGAACCCAAGGAAGGATCTAGTTGCTGCAACCAGGGTAAAATCAACGAAGATGGCGAAGTTGCCTTCCACTGGAATCAGAGTTGGTCAATGGAACATAAATAGACTCACGGACACGAAATTTGAACAAATCAAATACCTTGTTCTTTCATCTAATGTCGACGTATTCTTTATTATCGAGACATTTCTAAAGCCATCTRACGACRACGCTACTTTCTCGATACCTGGCTATAATCTCTACAGGAAAGACCGAGATGGACCTAAAAGAGGTGGAGGAATATTGGCTTTTGTTTCTAAGTATCTAATATCGAATCAAGAATTATCACTAAATCAGACCAATATCGAAGCTTTGTGGTTGAAYATAAATCCCTTTMATTCAAAAAGGAGCAYATTATTCGGTGCTATTTATCGTCCACCGTCAGCAGACCAACAATATGATTTGGCACTTGGGAAAAACATTGAAAGTGCATACATCAAAAGGAGAGGAGAAATACACATCGTTGGAGATTTTAATTTGGAWWTTTTGAAGCCAAGTTACAAGAAACATCAACTGGCTAAAGTACTCAAGAGCTTGGATTTCGTTCAACTCGTCAATTGTGTTACAAGACCATCATCTAAAACATGTCTGGATCACATTTACTCATCGCATCCTCAGTACATTTCTGATGTTATAACTCCAAATATTGGTCTATCAGATCATTTACCGATTTTCTGCCGACGAAAGTTTATTAGATCAACAAAGAACGCAGATCATACCATATGCAAATACCGAGTGACAAAAAACCTTAATCCTGATATGTTACTTGCTGCACTCTCATCAGTCCCTTGGGATGAAGCTTGGACAARCGATGGCGTCGACGATTCGTTACAGGTATTTGAAAAGATGTTGAATAGCGTGTTGGATAAGCATTTACCTCTGAAAAGTAAACRAATTAAAAGAAGATTCCAACCCCMATGGTTCAATAAAGAAATCAAAACTACAATGATGGAAAGAGACAAATGCCTAAAAAGAGCTAGAAAAACAAATGTTCCTAAAGATTGGACATTGTTTAGGCACTTGAAATGCAAGACTAATAATCTTWTCAAGAAAGCTAAAAGAAACTATTTTCGGACGACAATTGAGAATAAAGGAAACCCAAAGGGAATCTGGAACACAATAAAAGTGTTAAATGGAAAAGCAAAAACATCAACAAGGATTTCTGAGTTGAAGATTGAGAATGAAAAAATCCAAGATCCAAAACACATCGCGGATGCTATGAACCAGTTTTTTGTGAATGTTGCCTCAACTTTCTCCGATGAATTGCAGTGTAATGACAATAACTTCCATGATGATAAATTAAGATRTTTCATATCATCGAGGCTTGGGGAAGAGGATGTCTTTGAAATACCGTTTATAACATGTGAGGAAGTTAAAGATCTTATTCAAAAACTCCCTATTAATAAAGCAACAGGCCCTGATGGAATCAGTACAAAGATCCTAAAACTGGTTGCCCCTGTGATAGCTGATCCTATTTCCACGCTTTTCAATAAATCGATAGCCAAAGGCACCTTTCCCAGTCAGTGGAAGATAGCCGAGGTTAGTCCAATCCACAAAGCTGGGCAACGTGAGGAATGCTGTAATTACCGTCCTATTTCCGTCTTATCTGTTATTTCAAAAATCTTTGAAAAGCATGTTGCCAAGTCACTGAACTCATTCCTTCAAGAATTTAACCTTCTTTACAAATATCAATCAGGATTTAGAGCTAAACATTCAACTGCCACTGCGCTTATTCATCTTACCGATCAGATCCTTTTTGATATGGACAGTGACAAAGTCACCGGCTTGTTATTCATCGATTTTAAAAAGGCTTTCGATTCCATTATTCATGGTATTCTTCTTAGAAAACTGCAAATGTACCAATTTGAGGATTTGGCATTTCAGTGGTTTACCTCATATTTATCTGGCCGACAACAATATGTTAAAGTGAACTCTACAACATCCTCTCTTCTAGAGATACAGCATGGTGTCCCACCCAGCATGGTGTCTAAGGTGTCTAAGCGTATTGGTGTTCTGCGAAGGATTAGTCCGTATCTGAAGCGTTCACAAAGGGAAATCTACTACAGTACTATTATAAAACCAACTCTAAGTTACGCTTCTCCTGTCTGGTCATCATGCTCTTCAGATAGTCTTAATAGACTATTCCGTCTTCAAAAGAGGGCTGCAAGGATTATCACAGAAGCAGATATAAACTCTAGATCGATAGACTTGTTCAATTCTATCGATTGGATACCATTTTATCAAGAAACACTTATTACTACCGGAGCACTTATGTATAAGAGAATTAATGGACAGACCCCTGAATATATGAATGAAAACCTTCTTACGAACGCTGATATACATAATAGAAATACT